TTAATGTTTAAGAGAAATGATTGGCGGTGGCAGATGCCGATAGGGTTTGTTTGGATACAATGGTGCTTGCAGAGGAAGTGCAACTTGCAGTAACTTTCACGTTGTTATCCCGACGAACTTGGACCAAGATCTATTGACTAGAGGAGGAAATTAAGGCATTGACTAACTTACAAAAGTTTTGGTCAAGAATTTTTGTAATTGAAGTTTTTTAAATTAATATTTTGAATAAGGGGTTTTAGTGATTAGTTAGGAAAGGTACTCTTTTTATGAAATTACTAGCCTCTAGTTTTTAGATTCTTAGTTTTATGTCTTTAGCTTAAGGTTTATGGGGTTAAGTCGAGCCACTAATATATTTTGTTGCCGGATAGGGGTTTGTTTGGGTCCAATGGTGCTCGCAGAGGCAATGCAACGACGGTATTGCAGTAAGTTTCACGTTGTTTTTTTTTTTTTTTTTATAAAAATAATGATTAAAAAATTAATTTAATTAATTATTAATAACTAAAAATTCAATTATCAGACTGCACGAACATTTCACTTCTTAAAATGAAACATACGGCCCGTGAAGCTGCATTGGTGGAGTTCATAAGTTTCACGTTGTTATTCCTACAAACTTGGACCAAGACCTATTGATTAGACGAGGAAATTAAGGCATTGACTAACTTACAAAAGTTTTGGTCAGGAATTATTGTAATTGAAGTTTTTTAAATTAATACTTTTTTTTTTTTGGTTTTTCGTCCAGTATCCGAGGTTTTGTCCCGACTAATTTGAACTTGACCCGGGTCGCACACCTGAAAATAGTGGGTGAGTCTCCCAACAAAAACTACTACGGACACAAAGTCTCAAACTTGAGACCTTACTTAAACTGGAACAATCCGCTTACTACTTGATCCAACCCACTGTTGGTTTTTAAATTAATACTTTGAATAAGGAGTTTTAGTGATTAGTGAGAAAATGTACTTTTTTTATTAAATTATTTGCTTCTAATTTCTAAATTTTTAGTTTTATTTTTTTTTAACTTGAGGTTTATGGTAAAAATTTACTTTTAACTTTTTACATTAATAGATTTATAGGTTTTAACCTCTCATTTTATATTATGACACTTTTAACCCTTCACCTATACAAATTGAAGAAAATAATCTTTACTTAATGTCAAATTATAACGTTTTATTAATTCTGTTAGTTGATTATTAATTCTGTTAACTAATCATTAACTCTGTTAGCTGACTGTTAATATTTCGTTAACGAAATTAACAAATAAAATTAAATTTAAATTTTATATTTTTTACAATAAAATGTTAACAATCAACTAACAAAATTAACAGTTAATTAACAAAATTATCAATCAACTAACAAAATATTAAATAAAGTTTATTTTTTAAAATTTTTATAAATGAAGGGTTAAAAATATTATAATATAAAATAAATGATTAAAACCTATAAATTTATTAAAATTAAAAATTAAAAATATGTTTATGCCAAGGTTTATGGGGCCAAGTCGAGCCACTAATATATTTTGTTTGAGAATACTGTAATACTAGCTTTAGGTAGGTCTGAATAAGATTTGGAGACAGTAACGTAAATGTGCTGTTGTACGCCTACTTTTACTATCAATAGAATTATTTGTTTTTCTCATAAAAAATTTAAAAAAAAAAGAAACTATTCTTTAATAACCAAATATAAAAATAAAAAACAATTTTATAGAGTGGATGATATATCATTTGTCTTATAAAATTAGTTAAATATTTTTAAATTTTGTTTTATATTATATTTATAAAGATATTTAAATAATTTTATAAGATAAACGACATACAATTCATCTTATAAAACAGTATTTTAATATAAAAATAATTAATAACAACTGTTTTTATAAAGATATATTTTTATATTGAGATAAATAATTAAAATCAAATGATAATGATATGGGTAAAGTAAAAAAAAAAATATTCTTACTCATAATATAAAAAAGTAAAAATTAATAGGGACAAATTTAAAGTAAAAAAGTACTGTAAAAAGAGTTTTTTTTTTTTGGAGAAGCACGGAGTAATTATTGAAGGTAACTTTTTTTAAAAAAACTCTATCATATATTTTTTTATTTCCTTTGAAATAATAGTTCAAATTTGTCCCTAGCAGATGATATTTAGAGTATAGATACTAGATAGAACCAAAGGAGGGTGCACGTACAATGGACCTTCAACAACACGCATCAAAAATATTTCTAGAAGTTTAATCCAAGTCAAAAGACTTAATTTTTAGTCTAAACCTGTCAAAAACAATGAAGTTACAAGGAAAGAATCAAATGCATGAGAGCTCCATTAATTATCACAACATTTGGCAGTATAATAAGGATCGGAGAAGCTGCTTTAATTTCTCACAAGACCTTATTTCTTCTCTCTAGTATTTAAAAAATGAAGTTAGCTGTGTATTTGTTATCCTTTTTTAATTCTCTGATCTACATAAATCATCTACTACTTGCCTTTCAATCTCCTCCTACAACTGCCTTGCATCCGAGTAACGAAACCGACACACTTACATTGTTGGCGATCAAGAACCGGATTGTTGAAGATCCACTAGGAGTCTTCACCTCTTGGAATGTGTCTAACGATAACTGTAGTTGGAAGGGAGTCACTTGCAGCAATCAACACAAAGGCAGGGTTACGATGTTGAATTTAGTTGGCCAAAATCTGGTTGGTTCAATACCTCCCCACATTGGAAATCTGTCCTTTCTAAGGCATTTCAACCTCAGCTATAACAGCTTTAAAGGAGAGGTTCCTGAAGAGATTGGTCGGCTACTCCGCTTGACACATCTTGATCTCAGCTACAATGCCTTTCAAGGAAAGATTCCATGCAATCTGTCATTATGTTCAAATTTAGAAGACATCAATTTCACCAACAACAACCTTACAGGTGATATCCCTACGGAGCTTCGAAATCTGTCAAAAAGTCTACACAGATTTGAGGTCTCTGCAAATCACTTCACAGGAAGCATACCACAATGGTTGGGCAATGCATCTTCACTTACCTCTTTAGCCTTGGGAGGAAATAATTTACATGGAGGCATCCCAAGAGAGCTTGGAAGACTTCCAAAGTTGCTATTTCTGCAACTTTCTGAAAATAAGCTTTCCGGGGAGGTTCCACTTTCTATTTTCAATCTATCCTCACTCTATTTTCTTGCTGTTGCAGTAAACAGATTGCAAGGTGAAATCCCATCAAATATTGGCTTTACTCTTCCTAATCTTCGGTATCTTCACGCCGGAGCTAACTATTTTTACGGGGAGATTCCATCTTCGTTAATAAATGTAACAAAACTAGAAATTTTTGATATTGGGTTCAACGGTTTGAGTGGAGTGGTGCCTTCAAACCTTGGAACTCTAAGGAATCTTACAGTTCTATCTCTTGCAGACAATCAGTTGGAAAATATAGAAGATGAAGGCTTAGGTTTCTTAACTTCTTTAACCAATTGTAGCAACCTCCGTTGGTTGTTGCTCCATGATAATCATTTCAGAGGTGTGTTACCCACTTCAATTGCCAATCTTTCAACTAAGCTTGAAAAACTGTGGATAGGTGGAAACCAAATTTCAAGTAAAATCCCTAAAGAGATTGGGAACCTGGTTGGCTTAACCTCATTGGATATGTGTTCCAACAGCATTACAGGTGAAATCCCTCATTCTATAGCCAAACTGAAAAACTTATCCCAACTTTATCTGTGTGAGAATAAATTTACTGGGCCTTTCCCATCTTCACTAGGGAATATGTCTCAATTGCAAAAATTGAATTTGTCTGAGAACAATTTAAGCGGTCCAATTCCTCCTAATTTGGGAAATTGTTCACAACTTGAATATATTGATCTTGAGAAAAATTCTTTCTTTGGTAACTTACCAAAACAGCTTTTTAGCTTCTCTCGAGTCATAGAAGTCCACTTGTCGAGGAATTCTTTTATAGGAAAATTGCCTTTAGATTTAGTGGAGTGTAAGATGATCAATCTGGTGAAATTGGGTGTTTCTTACAACCAATTGTCAGGAGGAATTCCAAGTGCTTTGGGAAGTTGCTTGATGTTGGAGCAACTTTGGATGAATAATAACTTGCTTGAAGGAGGCATCCCACCCTCATTTAGAGCTCTGAAAAGCCTTGCACACCTTGATGTCTCTAGTAACAATTTGTCTGGCCAAATTCCAAAATATCTCCAAAATTTCACTCTCTTACAAAACCTAAACTTATCATTCAATAATTTTGAAGGAGAGTTGCCAACTGGAGGGATCTTTGAAAATGCAAGCATGATATCAGTAGCTGGGAACCAAAGACTCTGTGGAGGTATTCATCAGCTAGGACTTCCTTCATGCAAGATTAAAGGCAAGAAAAAGAAAGGAAAGCTTCATCATTTGACAATGCTTATTTCAATATGCACTTCGTGCTCAATATTCTTGATAGCATTGCTTGTTATTTTTTCATACAAAAGGAGATATAAAAGGAAAGCTTCAACTTCTACCATGGTGCAAGAGCTGGAGCTAGAACAATTTCCAAAGATTTCATTTAGAGAGTTAAGTCAAGCAACCAATGAGTTCTCATCATCCAATTTGATAGGAGAAGGAAGTTTTGGTTCTGTGTATAAAGGAATTCTAAGCCGAGATGCAATGTTAGTGGCAGTAAAGGTGTTGAACCTTAAGCAAAAGGGAGCTTTCAAGAGTTTCATGACAGAGTGTGAAGCACTAAGAAATATTCGACATCGGAATTTGATCAAGATTATAACTGTTTGCTCTAGTATAGACTTCAAAGGGGATGATTTCAAGGCTTTGGTCTATGACTTCATGCAAAATGGAAGCTT